TCCTAAGAACCCAGAACTTCTGTGCAGTGCTGATCTTTACCCAAAGGTTTTTTTTACATGGTGCTGTTTCTTGAAACAGCAGGAGCAAAAACCTTGGATTCTTTAGATCCCAATTAGTTGTTTTTTCTAACAGATCCTTGTGAATATCATCTGCCTTTCCCACTTTGTTTTCCTTGTGTAGCTCCACCTCTAGCTCAGTGGTTTAAGCACAATCTACTTGATGTGAAACATCCAGAGTGCTAATAAAAATGTTGCATGAAAAACAGCCATTTCTGGGGCAGCAATGACTGCTCACCATGCTCAGCACTACTCTTTTCCTTCCTCAGAAAAACTCTACATCATGAAAGCTGACACTGTTATCGTGGGGTCTGTCTCAGAGGTGCCCAGTGGCAAGAACTGTGCTGTTAAAGGATGTGAAAGTGCCCTTGATGCCCAGGAGAGCACAGAAGAGGAGCTGGAAATGCACTACCCAGAGCAGGAAACAGAGTCTTTTCCAGGGAATGATGTCCTGGTGCCTGTGGAAGAGGAGGGAAAGGAATTTCACCACCCCACCACTGCCACTGAGAAGTGACAGCCCGCAGAGAGGGTGTGGGGAGACTCAGAATCATCCAGGGTGACACTAAGGCTGAATTTGTGACAAGGGGGGTACACACAGTGTGCCTTGGATTATTGGGAAACTCCTGGAAAACACTGAAACACATTCAAACAAGGAGTTAGAGCCTATTTCATCTAACGAAGGAGAGGATCTTCCAAAATGCTGGCCTTTATAGCTGACATCAAATACTCCCATTTCCCCGTCTCCCAGTATCATACTGACAACAAATTTGAATCAAAGCTGCCTAATTTAGAAGACATCTGGGTGTCAGCTGAAGTTTCACAGTTTGCTTTCCCAGTGTGAAGGAATGGGTTGAGATCTATGTCTGGTTACTTCAATTTGCTGTGAAAATTCTGGCCAGGATTCTGAGTCAAGCTTGAGACTCAGCCACGTTGTCTCTACTCCAATACATTAAATTTTGTAATATATTTTGCAACATCTGGCATTTACTCAAGGCTTCAACTTTTGGTTGCAAATTATAATAATCTCAGTTTTCCCTAGCATAAACATAACTCTCAAGTTTGTGGATTTCATGTTTCTTGAGGAATTAGGATCAAAAGGTGCCACACAGGCTCTGAAAATAGAAGGCAAACAAAACCAATTGACATCCACTGTACTTTAGGCTATTCTTTCTAGGTTTTGAAGTCCAATTCATTTTTTTTTACTCCATCAAATCATTAGTAAGTGTACAAAACAGCCTCTTCTGATGGAAGCCAAACTGGCTGAGCATCTGGCTATTAAATGAACTGTGGGTTAAGCCCAATGTGGAGCCTGTAAAAAGAGAAATGAAGAAAAGAAACTATTTTTCTGCTGAAAAAAGAGGCACAGCAGTTATTTCCTAGAACATTGTTAAAATCTACTTGTTTTAGAATTGTTCATAATCATCAGGGTGACACTGATTTGCATATCCTTTAAAAACAAACCTCTTTGGTGGCCAACTGGCCTGTGTTCTGCTATTTTTAAATCTTCAGTGCTGCTTGTTCAGTAACTGTAAATGTAATAGTGCTGACTACAGGTTTGCACAGGCCAATGGAAAATGAGCAATATGACAAAGTGTGTCTTAATAATCAAAAAAGGGAACCACAAAACCCATTGCTTGCTCAGTGACTTCTGTCTCAGAGTGAGCACAAGGGCACAAAAACACCTTCTTGGGCCAGACTGGAGCTTGAGCCCAACATTTCAGCTCTGACAGTTGCAGGAAGGGATTGGATTAGTTAGGAACACCATAGCTGCTGTTTGCATTCATCATGGTGCTGCAGGTGCAGCTGCCATTGGATTAAGGATGTCAAAGAATTTGGTTCAGCCTTTGTTATTCCCTTATATCACCATTTCTTCTCTCTTTTGAATTTCCAAGTACAATCTGCCTCCATAAGCACCTGTGGCAAAAGATTACAGCTATCATGCACTGTGTAAAGGACTTTTAGCACTTTGGAACTGGCCTCTTTATTTCAGTGAATGTCACTAGCTGTTGCCTTATAGAAGTCAGTGAGTTGCTTTTTATTTTTTCTTTTTAAACCAAGTTGCTTTTGTGATTGATTGTATCTCAGCTTTGATTGCACTAAGCCTGAAGTTTGAGTCCCACCTTTTCATATTACTCATGTAAGTTTGATGCTCCACTGCCTTGGTCACTTCAGTTGACCTTTTCCACATCTACTTTAACTTCACTACATACTTCATTTTACAGAACACCAATTTGTGAATCCACAAACTGAATAAGCACATTTACCTGGCTGTGGATGTTTGGGGCTGTTCTGCAATGACTGTAATTGTGTATTTCCACTCCTGTATATTAATTAATCTTTTTCACTGGAACAGCTTTCTGAAAGAACCATATGCCTTGCAACCTGCTGGATGTGTTATAGTTAGCTGGTTTAATAATGCTGGTAATCTCTGAATTAAAAATTACATGGATTTTAAGCCATGGCCACACTTTTCCTGTTTGATATGAAATGTTAAATTGTTGATAATTTCAGTCTCAGAAGGAATATTTTTGCAAGAAAGCCATTTGAAGCTCATGGAGCTCTTAGTGGATTAGAGTTTTTCTCAGGAGCAGGGCTGAATTTCTTGTAAAGTCTGTCTGTACCATCCTGGCTGCATGTGACACACAAGTGACTGGTATTAATGAGTATTAATGAGTATTAATGAATATTGGAATGCTGCAAAGGTAACTTTGTACTGTGGGGTGAAGGAGTTGCATTTCAATGTTCCAACTCAATATTCTATGAGTGGGGCTGAAGAGACAGACCCTCCACATACACCATGAGACAGAGTGGAAATTTTCCAGAATAGAAATCCATTTTGATTTAAGTGAAATGTACATCTTTGAATTAACTCTGCAGCTTGCAAACATAGCTGTTTGGTGTGACTCCGTTTTCTCACAAAAAACCTATGCTCTAAGGAACTGCTTCAGCCAAAGGACAGAGATAAAGAAGAAGCCCCTTGAACTCTGAAACGGACACACACAGAGGCTGCTGCAGAAAGCAAGGTCAAAATGACCCAGGAATTCTTTCTGATAAAGGAAAAATTAGCAGCAAAATCAGTAAAATGAATATGTATGAACCTATTCTGAAATTGCATGCATATGGATTAGAGAGGGAGATTTAAGAAAGCATCCGGAGTTCCCAGAGCCACGCATGTCATTTTAGAAGAACGACCCCCACGTGCGTCCAGCGCTGCAATAAACACACCGGCTGCAGCAGTTTCACAGCGGTTGTGCAGTTTGTTTGTTCCGCAATCAGCCCGGTGCGAGCGGCGCCGCTGTCGGGGCGGGGGAGCCGCGTCCCCGGGGCGGCGTCTGCGGGGCCCGCCCGGGCCGCTCTCGGCGGCGATGGGGCCGCGCCGGCCGCTGCTCCCGGGCCCCGTCCCGGTGCTGATCCCGGTGTTGATCCTGGCGTTGATCCCGGCACTGATGGGCGCCGCGGCCGGGAGGGTGAGCGGGGCCGGGCTGGGTGTGCGATGCCGGGCTGGGTGAGCGGGGCCGGGCTGGGTGAGCGATGCCGGGCTGGGTGAGCGATGCCGGGCTGGGTGAGCGGGGCCGGGCTGGGTGTGCGATGCCGGGCCGGGTGAGCGGGGCCGGGCTGGGTGAGCGATGCCGGGCCGGGTGAGCGGGGCCGGGCTGGGTGAGCGGGGCCGGGCTGGGTGTGCGATGCCGGGCCGGGTGAGCGGGGCCGGGCTGGGTGAGCGGGGCCGGGCTGGGTGAGCGATGCCGGGCTGGGTGAGCGATGCCGGGCCGGGTGAGCGGGGCCGGGCTGGGTGAGCGGGGCCGGGCTGGGTGTGCGATGCCGGGCTGGGTGAGCGGGGCCGGGCTGGGTGAGCGATGCCGGGCTGGGTGAGCGGGGCCGGGCTGGGTGTGCGATGCCGGGCCGGGTGAGCGGGGCCGGGCTGGGTGAGCGGGGCCGGGCTGGGTGAGCGATGCCGGGCTGGGTGAGCGATGCCGGGCTGGGTGAGCGATGCCGGGCTGGGTGAGCGGGGCCGGGCTGGGTGAGCGGGGCCGGGCGGGGCAGGGGCGCTGCTCCCGGGATGCTGCTCCGGGGATGCGGGAGCGCCGCGGGGGAAACGCCCGCGGGCATCCCCAGGTGATGCCGCCCTGGAGGCAGCGTCCCATTGCTGTGTGAGAGCTCTATTTGTCACCTGTCTGCCCCTTGTCGCCTGTCTGTCCCTTGTCGCTTGTCACCTGTCCCTTGTCACTTGTTCCTTGTCTCCTGCCACTTGTCGCCTATTTGTCCCTTGTCACCTGTTCCTTTTCGCTTGTCTGTCCCTTGTCACCTGTCCCTTGTCTCCTATCCCTTGTCGCTTGTCTGTCCCTTGTCACCTGTCGTTTGTCTCCTGCCCCTTGTTGCCTATTGGTTCCTTGTCACAGACACCTTGTCTGTCCCTTGTCATCTGTCCCTTGTCTCTGCCCCTTGTCACCTATATGTTCCTTGTCTCCTGCCCCTTGTCACCTGTTTGTTCCTTGTCACCTGTCCCTTATCTCCTGCCCCTTGTCACCTGTCTGTTCTTTGTCACCTGCCCCTTGTTGCCTGTTTGTCCCTTGTCAACTCTCCCTTGTCTCCTGCCCCTTATCGCCTGTCTGTTGTCACCTGTCCCTTGTCTCCTGCCCCTTGTCACCTGTCTGTCCCTTCTCACCTGCCCCTTGTCACTTTTCTGTCCCTTGTCACCTGTCCCTTGTCTCCTTTCCCTTGTCACCTGTCTGTCCCTTCTCACCTGTCCCCTGTCTCCTGTCACTTGTCCCTTGTCTCCTGTCCTTTGTCACCTGTCTGTCCCTTCTCACCTGTCCCCTGTCTCCTGTCACTTGTCCCTTGTCTCCTGTCCTTTGTCACCTGTCTGTCCCTTGTCCCCTCTGTGCCCCTGGGCTTGGGCTGGATTCACCGTGATCTCTACAGCAATTTCAAGTCCTGCTCTTTAAACTTCAAAGCTGAGCCTTTGTCTGTGTTGTTGTTACTTCTTGGCTTCCCAAAGGAATGACTAATAACTTTTCCTGGATTTTCAGCGGAAATGTGTTGATTTTGCAGGCTTATTTGAATGTCTGTAAAAACCATGGTGAGCATCCTGGCAAGTGCAGAGTGTAACCCCATATCTACATGACATTGGTTGCACAGGAAGAATTGTTCTGCTCCGTTGGTTCCCTAGAACTCTTCCCTATTAAAATAGAAAACCTTTGAATTTGCATGAAGATCTGATGTGCTGCAGCTGTTGCTGTTCTATTCCACATCCAGCTGCTGCTGCACATTGTGTTTGGCAGTGAGGGTTTGTAGCTGTGCCAGCCAAAGAGCTCAGTGGGATCTGTTTGCCTTCAACTCAGTGTTTTCTGTACTGGTGTATTGACAGGACTTTTCTGTCTGGTTTTAAAATGTTCAGGATTGTGAAGATAAATATGGAAATGTTGCTGAGATGTCCAGGTCACTGTGTTCTTATGGGATATTTATGTTATTTACATGTTCATTTAATCATAGGAATTGAGGCTGGATAAGCAAAGGTTCAGTGAAATCAGGCGAGGATGTCAGAATTGAACCTGGAATTACACTGTGGTCTTTTAAGGAGTATGGGGTGCTACAGTGAGCCGATAATATATTAAAATAATTATTTTAATTAGTGTTTCTCACTAATTTTTAATTCAGCTCTGGTTTTAAGGTGAGAGTGTTTTGAACCTGATTTACTGGACACGTTGCAGTGGATAGGATAAAGCAGAGAGAGAAGGGACAGTCTCAGAATTGTGGCAGAACTTATCACCAGAATTTAAGTTTGTCATGTTTCATGCTGAGCAAGGGGCTTTGGTTCAAAAGGAATTAGCTCTCCTCTTATTTTAAATATGACTGAAACATAATGATGGAAATAATGACAGAAACTTTCAGCATCACTTTTTGCACCGTGACAAAATAAGGAAAAGCTTATACGTAAAGTTAGAAAAACAAACACAGTAGTTTCAGTAATACCACACCTGTCACAGAGCTGGAAAAAATCCATGCCCATTATATCAAATTTTAACAGTGATTTGTTAAAGAAAACTTTATTTTTGAGGGAGACAAACTGGCAAAGCAATAGTTCTTGTGTGACACTTCTTGGGTTTTATCTCATTCATCTGGAAGTGTCTGAGAGTTCCCAGCCTCAGTCTCTGTGTTAGACGCAGGAACTGAACATTATTTTTGCCATTTTGAACAATTGAATCACCAAGGTTATCAGTAATAACCTGAAGTTTTCAAAGAGAAGAACTGGTGACGCTGTTATCTGGTAAGTGAAATTCAACAGAACTTATTTTAAAATGAGAAGTTTAAATATTTTAGACAGAATTCTGTTTTTTCCTGCCTCCAGTAGGTCTGCTAGCTCAGCAAATAGTGTCTCTGTATGTCAAGTCCTTTCCATAGAAACAGATTTTACACCAGAGACCTCAGTGACTTCATTGTGGTTTCACATGCGTGAAGAACACTGCACACAAATGTAATTCCTCTGCAGATCCTCTGACTGACAGCTTGGGTTTGAAGGCAAATGTATGAAAAATAGATCAACAGAAATGTAGACATGTGAATTAGGATTAAAATATATGCTTATATATCTTTGTATAAATGGCCTTGAGTGAAAATGAAATTAAAATGAGTGTTATATGAATGGATTTATATAGATTCTTCCATTGTGTAAACATGTTTCATTTTATGTTAAGATACTTAAATTTAATTACACATAAAGACCTTTCAGCTTGTCTGGAGATAACTGTTAGCCACTCCTCTCCAGGGACAAATTATGTCACCTGTACAGTAATATCTGCATTGCAAACAGGAAAGTTATCCAAACAATGCAGGAACTCCAGAGGGTCTGGAATCACTGACTTTGTGTGTGTAACTTCTTGGTTATTGCTTAATGCAGAGGCATTGCAAAAATTTCCCTAGTGAGTTATGAAGTCAAAGGCAAACATAGTTTACCAATTTCTATGCCAAAATGTATTTCTTAATTTGATGTGCATAGAGCTAAACTAAATTTCATGTTTAAGAATGTTTGTGCCTCTACTGATGGACAGATGAGGCATTTTATTTCTTCTTGCACCTGTTAAATTAAATGAAGTCTTCCAAACTCTTAATTTAGTCCTTATAAATTTCTTTTAAATCAGCTGCCATTAGGCACTGCTATTTAGACTGAGAAGTTCTGAGCCTGTAATGCAACATGTGCAGCATCAGGTTAGTTTCCCTTCACACAATCTGCTTGTAGGACACTGAATCACAGTAAAAACAGGATAAAAGAAAGTCTTGTGAGAGATACAAAAATGAACAAAATGCAAAGATTGTGAAATATAGAATGTGGTCTCTACTCATCAGTCTTTCAGTCCAAAGTAGCCAATGCATCTGGATGCCAGACAGAAATTTTATATGGCCCAACTCAGACTTTAGGATTGGTGAAATTGCTAGAAAATTGGGGTCTAGTAAATGAATCGAATCCTTGCAATTGGGAATTGGAAGGATTTTTTGGGCAAACCAAGCTGGGCACGTGCGTGTGGCTCTGTGTGTGTGTGTGTAAATTGTGTCTAACTGTCAGTTATAAGTCACTGAGAGCCACAGCTCAGCAGATAAAATTTCAGGGAGATGGTATCAGACAGCAGAGAGATCCTTCCAAGCACAACTTCAGAGAAACAGGTGTGAACCCAGCAACTGACAGGTTTTCCTGTGTCTGCAGCCCACAGGGCAGGATTTACAACAGACAGGGAAGAGCATGAGATAAGAACTTTATATTTTTTTAGCCAGGAAACCTCACCAGCAGGGTCATGTGTGATGTGGTTTATTGTATTTCTGCTTTTTTTTCCCCCCGTGTCTGCTCTTGCATTGAAGCCTTATGTTTTGAAAAGGCTCTCAACTGCTATTTTTAATGAAGCTGATCACAGTGACTGCAAAAATGAGATGACAACACTTGATCTTTCCTCTTCTAATAAAAAAGTAACTTAATAAAAATATTTTTGTTGAGAGCAGAGCCCTTTTCTGCTTCTAATTTTAGTGGCAGCTCAAGTTTGCAAACAGGATGATTTATCATTGTCCATCCTATGATATTTAGACTTTTCTCTGCCTTCACATTCTTAGAAAATGTTTTTTTGACACTGCCCATTGAGTAGGTTGACAAAATCCTGTTTCTGATCACAGTCAAATAAGAGTAGAAAGAAGATATAGAATATATCTTCTTTATAAGAAATAAGAAATAAAATATTTCAATAAGCTGCATAAGAAAATGCTGAAGAGGGTGGGAATAATTCATTTCCTATGTCAGTAATGTGAAGCCACAATAGATGTTCAAGATGTTTTTCAGTAAGGAGGAAGGATATTTTCATTACTGGCCTCCCGAGATCTTGTTCCTGTTTTGATTTTTCATCTTAGTAATGATTCCTCTAAATGTGTGTAGATTAAACATGGAGCAATCTCTTCAGACTGCAATGATGCCTTAAAGCTGAGCAGTGTCACATCCTTTTTTAACAGTGCCTTTTTGGTCTAGCAGGAAACTCCTACACTTGTCCTACCTAACAGGAACCTTTTTAAGTGAGTGTATTTTCCCCTTTGAAAATAGTCTGTAAGTCATTAAATAATTTGACACTTGTTCATTGAGCTGTGCTGATCAGTGTGAGCTGAAATTAGGCACCCTGTATTTATTTCATGATTGTCTCTAATGCATTTAACCTGCATATTTGTCTGCACCTTCTGCAAAGGTGCTGCTTCTCAGAAGTTTTTGGAGACATCATTTCCAAAACATCAAGGCCTTCCTTGCTGAGGAAGGAATCACAGAGTGCCTGGAAAGATAAAAGCCTTTTTCCCTTTTCTTTGGAAAGACTGACTGAGGTTTTTGAGCCGCTTTGCAGTAAATGTTTCTCCCACAAACCCACAGGTCGGAATTTCGGTTTCTCTGGTGTTTTGTCAGATGATGTTTGAGCCATGGCAGGTGGGGATAAGGCACTCAGCTCTTTGGTTCCACTGCACTCTTTTGAACCTAAACCTGGAGAAATCACTTGGTTCCTGGTGGATCTTTGGAAAACAGAGGAACCTCAGAAGGGTCACATGCAGCTCATTAGCTGTTCCTGGCCCTGCAGCCTCTGTGCTGTTTCATTATAGCTCCACTGGTGCCTTGGAAGGGAAGGTGCCTGCAATTGCACTGCTCTTTAGGCATTTGTCTCTTTTGAGTCTCTAATTCAGGATCAGAATGGATTTGTGACTCATGACTTGCCCTTGATTTCTCCTAGGAATATTCATTGCCTTACACACCACAGCTTGCAGAACGATGCAACGATCCCAGCACTGAATTCTATGATGAAGAACTTGATAAATGCTGCAGCCAGTGCCCTCCAGGTAGGTTATCATTCAAACTATTACTTTACACAGCCAAATTCATTCAGTTTTCAGATGATCATAGTGTATTTGGATTACTTATACATCTAAAGTGCATCAGATTTCTGCTGTTATAATGCATTCTTCCTCAACAAAGACAGCAAAACACTATGACTGCTAAAAACCTGTAAAAGAGACACATTGTCCATCAGAACTGGAATTCTCCTTCAAGGTTAACTGGGCTGGGGCTTACCAGGAGTGTACGCACAGCTCTGCATAAAGTTTTCATTAAAGTAATTAAAGTAATTTTAGTCAACATTGGAGGGGAAGCAACAGCTCACTAAGGGAATTACAAAAATTAGGCAAAACAGACCCTAGCCCACTAATAAAAATATATATTGTAAAACAGGGCATGAAGTAAAGCTTGGTTTCTGTGCTATGATAATATCACTTATCTAAGGGGCTTTCCATTGGACAGGTCAATGTGTCATTGTTCATTAAGGGAGTTGTTGTCTTTTAGTGTAAATCAGACACTGAGAGCACTGTCATGCTGGGGACAGGACTGCAGACACTGTCTGCTCTGAGCTGTCACATCCTACACTCCTGGGGTGATTATAAGTGACCTGTAGTTAGCCAAAGTCATTGTCTGTGGATTTTGGGATTGGTTTGTTGGGGGGGATAGTAATGTTCTTTGGAGATTTTGGTCATAGAGTGCAATAAGTTGCAATTATATTATTATATTATTATATTAGATACAGAAAAAACAACCTGCATTTTTTTCCTCATTACACGCTGAGCAAAGAAAATTTGTCTCCATAAATGCTGAGTGTCTGTCAGATCCGGAAGTTCAAACAGGAAATCAGTATTTGCTGAAACAGCTGCAGCTTCTTGAATTAACTGAAATTATCTAGATAGATCTGTCAGACTTCCTTTGTTCATGACAGATGAAAGATGAGAATTCAGAAGTAAAACTTTTCAGTTGTGTTATGTAGTGTTCAGTGAATCAGCCTAGATCATGAGCAAGATGTAGGATGCAGAATGTAAAGCTTTAATTAAGTACAGGGGAAAACAAAGTCTTTGGAAATAATTAATTTGGCTCACCTCCAGGGCCTCTTCTTTTGAAAAACAGATTCTCCAAGCACCTCTAAAAATTTTCCAGTGTTATTCCTGCTTCCTGATTATGTTTTCCAGGATATTTTTGTAAAGGATATGAGACATTGACTTTTATCTTATTTCCCCTTTCACATGAAAGGGAAATGGCAATTGAGGTGTTTTCTCCAAAATTAATGTTGGAACTCACATGCTCCCATCACTGTACTAAATGTGAGAAATAGTGCAAACTCTGCTGGTGGTGGGAAGCTTTGCCCTCTCCACCCACTGTCTGTAATAAAGGGTCTCACTCAGGCACATCATTCTGGCACATGCCTGGTTGTGAAACACCTCCACGTGTTCACCACAAAACAGCTTCTGCAAAGGTAAAATATTTGGGTTTTTTATTGTGGTAGCTGCACCTAAGTATGTGCTGAGGGGTTTTGTTTTGCCTTGTTTTGAATGTGTCTGGAATCCACTGAAGTGCATGTAGGAAAAGGGGTCAAACATGGATGGACATAAGTCAGACTTTCCCTGTAGAGACATGCAGTCCTCTATATCAATCTGATAATGTCAGTGAAGGGAAAGGATTCTACAGCTCAGAATGAGCCTTAATTCCTAGTGATCTTTTCCAGTGAGATGATTTCTCTGATTTGGTTTGGGGTATTTTTCTTTTAACAGGTCAGTATAGGACAGGGAGCTGCAGTCACACCACGGACACCAAGTGCAGCCCCTGCAGACCTAAAACCTACACAGCCATCTGGAATCATTCTCCACAGTGCTTTGCCTGCTCAGCACCCTGCAGGAAAGGTAGGCTTGGGTTAGGAAAGGGGCTTGCTCAAAGACTGGGCTTGGTTTAACCTTGTCTTTTCTCCTAAGAAACCTATGAGATTTTGTCAATCACTTGTATAGCCCTCATGCTATTGTAATGTGTAAGATTTAGGGATAGGAAACAAGGAAAAAAATCTTGCAGGGAGCCCTGGCTCTTTTTATTTTTAAGTCCTAAAAATGAGGACTTAATAATATAAGTTTTAATAATATAATTTATTAAAAGCTAAGGCACTACATCACTAAAATATTCCAAATGCCATCAGTAGAATAAGCTCCTGCTTATAACATCCCATCAAGAGACTTTAATACCTGACTTGGACATGGATAAATGGATAATTACATTTCCAGCATCCTGTCATTTCTCATTTTGTCTGCTGAAGTGACAACAGTAAACATGGGTCCATTTTGCAAAATAAACATTGGTTTATTTTGCAAAGCAGCAGTCAGTGAGAGCACACTGGTTCTGTTCAGTGAAGCAGCTGAACAGTACCTAAGGTAGAACATTGTACCAACACCTGTACTTTGGGCTAATAGATCACCTGCATTAATGAACTCAGTCATGCTGTTCTCCATAATTTCTAATGGAAATTGGTGTAGAACATTATATAGTTGATTCACTGAGAAGTAAGTTTCAAGGATACAGTCTAAGTTGAAAGGACCTTTGGTCTTGTCTAAATAGATCTTACAAAGCTGGTTAATTACAATATGGAAATATCTGTAGTAAAATCCCCAAACACATTAAATACAGTGACATGATCTGCACGGACTGAAAATCTCAGTGTGGCCCCCAGGTATGGCAGTGGTGAACACAAATGGCCACATTTGGAATTATGACAAAATACAACACAACTGCAGGCACAGAGTTTTAAATGTGCACTCTGCAGGTGCAAATTTCTCCTTGCCTGGAGAGAGAAAACATTTTCTTCTGAAAATGTAGACATTGGGGCATGTAACACATTTGGTTTATGGTGCTATACAAAACTTGTATGTGAACATCACCTCATGTTCACTCGAAACATTGCAGGCTGTGATTTTAAATGCTGTCAATGACATCTTGCTGCTTTATTTTTGTTTTAAAACCAGGGCTTGTACAGAATCAAACGTGCACCAGGTCCCAGGACAGGATCTGTAGCTGCCCACCCCACAAGTACTGTGTTTCCAAGCTGGATGAGTACTGTGAAGTTTGTAGAACACACAAAAAATGCGGCAAAGGCTACCGGGTTTCCAGAAGAGGTAATTTGATTTTGAACACTCTGCATACTGCACATTTATTCTGGCCTAATTCCCTTCAGCTGTGCATTCCTTTTAGGGTTTATTTTTACATTCTAAGCAAGTGGGCACTAACCAGAGTAACAGTGTTCTCCAGAGGTATATTCAAAGTGACAACACATTGCAATTTCTTACTGTCATATATCATAAAGTTCCCAATCCAACTTAATCTTCATTATGCTCTCCTGTGATTTATTCTGTACAAGTGACTGAAATCCAAGACCACTTAATCACTCCTTAAATCCTTGAAAAAGGGCTTCAGGTGGGATTTTGGGTACAGTAAATAATGATGACTCTATGCTGTCCTGCAGAATTGATCTGGTTTTATTGGTTGATGAAATCTACCACCTGATAATACATCTGTGTCAAAATGATAAATAATTTTAAAATACTTGAAATGAGAAACATTTAAGAAAATGACGAATCATTTTGAGAAGATGCAGAACTCAACAGTATGGTAGTCAGTCGGTGAAAAGCTTTGTCTGAAGCACCACATTTGAACCTTTAATGGCACCAAACTTACAGCTGGTTAATCTTTTTGGGTTGGGTGCATCAAGTGAATGTCTCCTGTGACAGTCACAGACTGCATTTTTGCACTGCTTCTATATCATTGCTGGGAACTCTTGCAGACCCTGAATATTCATTCTTGTTTCTCACCAGATAAGTAACTGGAGTTTTCCTCTTTGTTTAAAGGGACAGACAGCACAGACACAGAATGTGAACCTTGTCCTCCTGGCACGTTTTCCCCTGAGGAATCCTACAACACCAGCTGCACACCCCATACCGTGTGAGCCAGTGTTCTGTCCATCAGCAGCCTTAGCTGTGCAGGGCTTTCTGGTGTTCCTGACTTCTCTTTTTGTCTCTTGCAGCTGTAAATCAGTGGCTGTCCCTGGGAACAGCAGGAATGACACTGTTTGCAGTGACTCGGGAACAGCCACGGTTCTGCCTCACACCATTTGGAACCTACTTGTGACCCAGAACCCAGCTTCCCACAAAGCTGAAATAATAACTCAACCTGTCATGTTAAACTCTGTACCTGACCTGTCCCACATCACTGGTGAGCTTTAACTCATTTAAAGTCACTTTTGTCTGCTCAGGAACCAAGCTTATATTTGGTTCTCAGTGTCTTTCCAAAACCAGTCACCAAACAGAACCTCAGAAGAGCTCAATTAATTCAATGTGACACAGCTTGTAGGGAACTGCATTTTTACCTGTGCATCTGCATTACTTCTAAAAAACCCAAACTAGATTATACAAGGATTTCCTGATAATTGCTGCTATAGCTGGTAGAAAACTTTGTATCTTAAATTCTGGATTGAGGCAAACCTGACCTGGTGAGAGGTCTGTGAGTCTTCTGTCAGACAGAAGGTCCTGACAGCATTCCTGGGTGTGGATGTGCTCTCTGCTTTTCACAGGAGAAGGCAGAGATGTTTAGGAGCATTTTGAGCTACTTGGCCTTGTATGTGACAAACTCCTGCTTGCCCAGAGAAATACCTTTTGGGACCAAGGCCAAAAGTCTGTCCTCACTTTTCAGGAGAGGAGAATTCAGTTTTATGAAGTGGTGACTGAAATGAGACCTTGGTTTCTGACAATTAAGGCATCCGATGTGAATGTCAGACATATACAATACTTGTAAATTTGGCTTTTGTAGTGAGGCACAGAAACTACAAAACTACCTTTTTCTAATTAGATCAAGCTGCTAAATAATTTCTTATTTTATTTATTTTCAGGAGCAGTAGCAGGGCCATTGTTACTGATCCTGATAATTGCTATTTTGGGGTATTGCTTAGTCTCAAAAAAAAAAGGTAAGATTCATGAAGTGAAAACAAGCAAACCTGTAAAAACTGTGAAGTTTTTGCCTTATTTCCCATTACCTGAGCCTGGTGGTTGACTGAAATTAGTGTCTAAGAAGCTGCCAGCTTTCTTCAAATCTGTCTTGTACCTCAGATTTTAGGTAATTGTCTAAATACACAACAGCCTTAGAGTTGGACAACTGTCCAACAGTTGTGCTTCTGCTGAAGCTTGTTAAATATTTGGTACCTCATCATTTAAATATTAGACCATTTCAAGTGTTATAATTAAACAGACATGAATGTGGTTTATTGTCATCAATAGCTTTTCTCATTGACATTATACAAGAAAGATTATGAATTCATGCTGAGGCTTCTCTTTGCTTCCTGGCTAATTAAGTCACGAAATTAATGCAATACAGGTTCCAATGTGTTCAAACTGTGTGCAATAAATGTACATTTGAAGTTTATTCCAGGAGCAGGGGATCACAGCCTAGTTTAGGGCGCAGATGTTGCAAATGGGACAGGTTTGGGTGCTAACAAACTGTCTTTGCTCACTGGCAGCCCCTGTGTACTCTGCAGCAGCTACAGAGGCAGGTTTGGTGAGTGTCCTCTCTTTCCACCTCTTCCATTTCTTTAAAAGTTACACAGAAATCATAAACTCTCACCTAAATACAAGCAGAAGAAAACAGCACAGCAGCAAGAAATCTGCAGTGAGAACAGGGTGGTTTGGTCCCCAAGCAAGGGTGTAAGATGTATCTTAAATATCCCACATAATGTCCCACCCTCACTCTATGTGAGGCTGAAAACAGCACTAAAACCCAGGTGGGGTTTTGAAAACTAAATTTGGTCCCTAAGTAATCAGAGCAGTGCTGTGGGTGCCTTGAGGAGATGGGTTCATTTTGTTGAACCCCTAATGAGCTGTTATGGACTTTACTTGCACCCATCACTATGCAAATGAAAATAATGACAGAATGGCTTGGATTGGAAGGGACATTAAAGCTCCTCTAGTTCCAATCATCACTGGTTTCTTTAGCTGCCAAAATACTGACCAGTTCTTTGCTAGTGGGTTGCTTGTTTTGGGTTTTTCTGGTTTTTTTTTTTGTTTTTTTTTTTTTTTTGTTTGTTTGTTTGTTTGTTTTGGTTTGGTTTTTTTTGGTTGTTTTTTTTTTATATTAATATTTTGCATTTCTCTGCAAATGTTCCAGCCTTTCCCCCCTGCAGAAAAACAGTGTGACAAAAAAATCAGAGATCCAGATTTGCAGAACTCCAGGAGTTCTGAACAGGAACAACAGCATCTCTTGGAAACTTCTGGGTCCAGCAGCAGTATCCTGAATCCAACTGGATCTGCAACCAGCAGTGTAATAAGTAAAGAGAAGGATGAAAATAAAAACTCAGGAGGATTTCAGCAGCAACATTCACCTCCTGAAGGTTCTAAATTCCTGAGTGGAGACAGACACAGCTCTGCAAGTTCAGGTAGTAATGATTCTGAATGATCCAGAACCTCTTGAAATTATAAATTATGAGTCTTTTTAGCAGAAGTCTAAATGACAGGATAAAACATCTGAGTCCTGTTCAGCAGAGAGAAAATTTAGTAGCTTTTGAAAAGAAAAAATGATTGTTTTAAGTTGCCATCCTGAAATAATAGAGTTTCCTCAGTGGACAAACAGGGATTTAGGGGCTGGGGCATCAGGGGGTTGGCACTTACCTGTGGGTGGGAGTAGAAGCCAAAGGGAGCAGTTACAAAAGAATATTGTAAAAACATTTGAAATGACAACAGATGGGCAAGGAATTGTTTGCAATCCAGGTCTCTGCATTAATTTTGGCAGCCTTTTTATTTCTGGGGAGATAGGTGGATTTTGTGGTACCAAAATGTTACAGAACCAACTCAACCAGCTTGACTAAATTATGTGAAGCAAAAAGATATTTAGTGTCTATTTTACCTGTAAGTCAAAGAGCTGGATAAAGAATCCAGCTGCCCTGTTCTGGTTTCATTCTTCTGTGTTTTGTGTTTATTTGACAGAATATTCTGGTAATGGAGGCACGCAGGTGAATGTGACGTGCATTGTGAAATTTTGCAGACCAGACTGTAGCTCCCAGTGCCCTGAGCAGATAAATTCAACTGTCAGGGATAATGGGCACAGTCCCTGGGGTTCCCCAACAGGAGAAGAAACCCTCCCTTCAAAAGAAGAAAATGCCTTGAACAAAGAAACCGAAATTCATATTGCAGTGGAAAATGAGGACAATTTACTTCAAGACTTACTTCCAGAAGAAAAGAAGGTTCCTCTGGGCATTCAAGATGCTGGGATGAAAACCAGTTAAAGGAAATTACAGATCATATGCAGATTGACTGATAATCAAACAACCTCTTGTCTTATAAAACAAACATTATGGTAAATGTAGCTTTCTCACAGAGATTTGAAATTTCAGATGAATATAGACACTGATGCTTTTTAGTGTCTTCTGTTGCTTTGCAGTTTAAAAGCATTGAAACTTTTTAAAATGGAATGGCCAACTCCCTTTCTTCTGTAATACTCTAAGAGGACATTTATCAGACTTGAAAAGGAATATTTTTCAAACTTTATGCTGTTAAATTTTCTCCTGAGACTTCTTGTGATGATGATTTTTATTCAAGGTCTGCCACATGTCAAGAACATGGCTGTGACAGCACTTCCAAGGGACTGAGGTTAAAATATCATTCTTTCAATGCTCAGGAATCATCCATTTGATTTAAATTTTAAAGCTATCAGTTCCTATCCCGTATTTTAGTTGTCATACTTTCCCTCACCCTCCTGGATATTTCCTTTATTATTACAGTTTGTTTTTTCTCATTATCAGACCAAATTTCTTAACAACATTTAGGATATCAGGAAGTGAAATCTTTTACACAAGCTCTTTTTTACAACTAAAATTACAACTGTTATGTCTAACCAACAGCATTTCATTGCCTGTACATAGTTCATTTTGTTTTAGAAGGGAAAAATCCAGATTGAACTGTTTTTATCTTGGAGGAAGGAAGTTCCTTTCGTTGACAACCCTAGAGTTCGCCCCCTTTGTGTCCTGGCTGAGGTAACATGTTTCCCCAATTGATCCTGACCTCATTGTTGAGGTAAACCATAAATCCAAAATATTTTCCCTGTGTTCAGTGATTATTAGAGCAGATCCCTGTGATTACCTTTGCCAGAGAGCTCTTTGCCCTCAGGTGGCAGAGCATCATCTGTAATAAATGGAATTTACTCAAACCTCAGAACCTGAAAATCCTGTTCTCCCTCACTGCTTGATGATGCTGGAGCTCCAACCAACTCTTAGAGCAAATTAGTGGAGGCTCTCCTTGAATGAAGTGGTTTGGAAGCCAATATTTAGGAACCCACTTCCCATAATTACATTTTACATCTGTGACTTAACTGTCAATTGTGGTGGCTATGTTCAAGCAGAATCTGCAATCCAGAGTCTGAATCCCATGGGAGTGAAGTCATTCAGTGACACATCACCCTTGTGTTATGCCATAAAAACATTGCTGGACTGTGTGATCCCTGCACTTCCACTGAACTGTCCTAATCTATCTCAAGTCAGACACAGTGGTTATTTCTGAGGCCTGAAATGTAAAAGGATCTTTTGGAATAAAATTGCTAAAAAGGAGTATTCAGATTCTAAAAATACAGATTTTAAACTTCCACAAAAACTATGATATCATATAATCTGTAATTATTTCTGGGGCTGACAATCAGGTCCGTAGTTCTACTATGAAGAAGCCGTTTGCAAATCTGTATTAAACTTACACTTGAAGGCATTTTTCAGGAAAGACTTTGAAAATGGGCATATTGAAACTACTACAGAACTGAATGATTTAGACAAGAACCTCATTTTTCACAGCTCTTTGGACCGCTTTCAGCCCATTTCTGTGAGGACGGTGCGGAGGCCACAGGCACGTTCGGACCCCAAACCCGCCCGGTTTGAGCCCATTTCTGTGAGAGCGTGTTCGACCCCAAACCCGCTCTGTCTGAGCCCATTTCCGACCCCAAACCCGCTCTGTCTGAGCCCATTTCCGACCCCAAACCCTCCCTGTTTGAGCCCATTTCCGTGAGGGCGCGTTCAGACTCCAAATCCACCCTGTTTGAGCCCATTTCCGTGAGGGCGGTGCAGAAATCCCGGGGGTATTCCGACCCCAAACTCGCCCCGTTTGAGTTCATTTCCATGAGGGCGTGTTCCGACCCCAAATCCACCCAGTTTGAGTCTTTTTCTGTGAGGGCAGCACAGAGACCTCGGTGTTTTCCGACCCAAAATCCGCCCTGTCCGAGCCCATTTCAGTGAGAGCGTGTTCGACCCCAAACCCGCCCTGTTCGAGCCCATTTCCGCGAGGGCGGTGCAGAAATCCCGGGCGCGTTCCGACCCCAAACCCGCCCCGTTCGAGTCCATTTCCGTGAGGGCGTGTTCTGCCCCCAAACCCGCCCCGTTCGAGCCCATTTCCGTGAGGGCGTGTTCTGCCCCCAAACCCGCCCCGTTCGAGCCCATTTCCGTGAGGGCGTGTTCTGCCCCCAAACCCGCCCCGTTCGAGTCCATTTCCGTGAGGGCGGAGCGGAGGCCCCGGCTCGGGCCCAGCCCAGGGGCGTTACCCGGCCCCGCCTGCAGGGGGCGGTGCCGCCGCCCCATCGATCGCTCGGCGCTCCCGCACTCGGGCGCACCCCCGCGACCGCCCGGCGCGCGCCCGCCGCCCCCCGCCCGCCCTCAGCGCCGCGCAGGTGAGCCCGGGGCTCCCGGGGGGCTCCTCGGATGGCCCCGAGGGGGTACGGGGAGGACACTCGGGGCACCCCCGGCCCCGCTGCCTTTTCCCTTCTGCGTCAGCCGCCGCTCCCGCTCCCCGGGTCCGGCCTGAGGGGCCCCTCCCTGCCGCACGCCCCTCGCGGCGCCCCGCCCCGGGAAGGGTGGGCGAGGGGCGTCCCGGTGCGTCCGCGGTGTGTCGCGGTGTGTCCCGGTGCCCGCGCCCGCCGCGGGGCGCGGGGGGCTCAGCCCGGCCGCGGGGCCTGGGGGTCCCTCGGGGCCTCCCCGCCCGGCGCGGGCCGTTCGCCGCCTCACGCTCCCCGGGGCTGCCCGGGGTCCCTCCCGCCCCGCCGGGCAAGGTGACCTTTCGCTTCCTCCCCGGCACGCCGGGCGAGCCCGCAGGTCGCTGCTGGCGATCCCCCGTGTCCCCCGTGTCCCGGAGGCTCCTTCCCTGCCGGATTTGGGTAGAGGGGCGCTGGGAGAGCCCCCCGTACCTCCGACCACTGCCCTGGCCCCGGCGCTCCCGGGCCTGCTCTGCCTCCCCCTACGGAAAATTGCATCCTAATTTCGCTTTGAGCCAGGGCCTGCTTTGGGATTTGGTTCTCACCCTGACAGTTCTTGTCCTGTGTGCGTTAAGGAAATTAAAACATTGTCATAGCAAAGAAATGCTTTCATTTTTCCTGGGCACAGCAGTGCACCGGCGAGTTAAAAATATAAAAGCCTTAAAGGATTTGAAAGGTTTGTGTATGGTTAGTTATGTCCCACGAGTTTAGGTTAAGGTTGTGATGTGCTTCATTTACAGCTCTTAGGGTGAGTTCAGGCATGGTTCATATACCAGAGGGTTTCAGTCACTGGGATGCTGAACTGTGCTTAAATGTTTCTACAAGGTCTTTCCTTTGCTCTGGTTCCAAACACCTGTAGATTCCTTCTTTTATTTACTTTTTTTTTAATGCCCGTGTAACAAAAATGAGTGCATATACTTTTGTTTGATCTTGACTTTCTTGTCACTTTCATTAGAATAAAAACCTATAATGTAACCTGGTGGTCCAAGAGCACAAATGCTTAGTCTTTATTAGGTGGGACAGTAATGTTGTTTTTGAAAATTGTTGAGAAATTTTACAAAGGCAAAACTATTAAAACACATTTTATAAGAAGCCATGTGACTGAATTGAATCGAACTTTCCTGTGCTGTTTTCTGTTTCATTCTTCAGGACAGCACAGTTTCACTTTCAGCCTTTAGAAAAGGCCTTTCATTGCTTGCTTAATTCTGGTTAGTTAATTTAACTATTAGTTAAATTTCTAACTATTAGTTAATTTTCACTGCCTTTTTAAGGCAGAAATAAAAGTTTAAATGGGGCTACCTAAAATCAACCAAATCTCATAATGAGAAAACTCTGTATCTTAATGCAAAGTTTAAAATGTGACTCTTGAAGCTGTTGTTCCCTTCTATTGTCAGCTGTAAACAAAGGATGTATCTTGCTTTTTCTGCTGTGTATAATTCAATGGTTTAGGCAGGTGTATGGGATTAGGAGAATTTTTTAAACACAAAATCAAGATATTTATTGCATTCTAATCTCAAGGAATGGCCTGCATGCTTTTTTCCTTACTGTACCAGGCTTCACCCTGCCCTTGCAAGAGCTGTGAGTGGTTTTGTAATTCTGTGGTTAAAAGCTTGAACAGGGACTTAGGGATTTTAATGCCTTGATTGCCACAGAGGTGAAACAGAAGTGACTGGAGAAGAGGGAAGGGAAATGTTCTGGAGTGTGGTGCTTCCCTGATGCAGCTTTTTCCCTCCTCAGTGCAATAATCTCTGCTGCCACTTTGAAAACCTGTTGCAGTAACTGTTGATGAGCTATTTTTGGGGCTTGGATCTGATTACTGCCCACACACCCGCTCTCCCAAAAAGGGCTTTGAGTAGGGTGAGTTGCTTCATAGGTGCCGTGGAAGAATTCTACAAAAATCCAGAAGGCTTCAGGCTGTTACTTCAGAGCAGCTGCCAAAGCCAGCACGGTGAAAATGTTGGCACCAGAGGTCAAGGAGCCAGTGCAAACTTCAGATCAATGTGGAGTTTTGTCCTTTCCTTTTCTGCAGGAGGATTGTGGATTCCCTGTGTTGATTATTGCACTAAAAAGTAATGTGTTGCTTAGAAAAAGGATGGAAAGATGAACTTTATGTGAAAATCTCTCTGTGAAGCTGATTTGACACTTAAAGGGCATGGGGTAAAGCTTTTTTAAGGTAGAAATCAACCTTGGTGCTTTTACTTCTCTTTGGATAGATCACAGGAAGAATTGAAGTGACAGCAATGTCAGCTCTGCTGAGTGTGTATATTTCAGATAATAATTTTCTTTTTTTTTTCTTTCAGACTGAGACTAATTATGGAAGAGAAATCCAAAAAATGACAGAAAAGCATTAGTTTTCTTCTTCTAGGACAGTCATGTTGGAAGGATTGGTAGCCTGGGTTCTCAACACCTACCTGGGCAAATATGTCAATAACCTGAACACAGACCAACTTTCAGTGGCACTTCTGAAGGGTGAGGGAGCCTTTGTGCTATCTTCTGTTCTGTTTTCATATTGTGATTTAGAAAAGTATTATTTTTTTGTGATAACTAGAAAGTGGAATAGAAATAATTACTTAATATTGTGTTTAATATCTATATAAACCCTTTTAATAGAGTTTGGTACTAGACTTTATAATGAACAGTAAATGATCTTA